TTCTTCCACAGAGCAGCTGGTGCGTTCATTTTTTTCTTCCACAGAGCAGCTGGTGCGTTCAAACTGTTGACCGTGCAATTATTAGTCCAACACATCACTACACCACCAGGGCTCCTTGGCTTAGGCTTAGTTCTTAGTTACCATTTGCTCAGACAGTTTGGAAATCTGACTATCTCCTTGGCGTTCTCCCACACAGCTCTGGCAACCTAGTTTCCCTTGGGCAATCCACTTTCTTCTGCTCTACTTTTTATCTAGAAAGTAACGCTGGTGGTTTGAGATCACCAAATACCGAGACCCTTACTTTCTAGTAAAACTGGCACTCAAAACCCGCTGCCACGGAGTCAAGGCTGGCTCTGAGCCATCCTGTTGCTAGGGCAGGGGAGATTGTGCCTGTGGGTTTCCCAGACTGTAACTGCCAACCGGAGTCCAAAGCCCTGGCGAGTGGTAGGTGGTTTTGAATTTCTGACCTTGAGATCACAGCCCAACTCATAACCACTCTGCCACCACGGCACCTTAAACCGGCACTACCCATTCTTAATTATGTGTGACTCTCATACATGAGCACTTTTGTGGTTTAGACCAAATGTCTAATTATGAGGACAAGACTTCAGAAATTATAGTAGACAAGGACATTAACCAATACTTGCAACATCAATTCATCATCCGGGACTAGGATTGTGCCAATCCCCTATGGTCAGTTCTCAGGGCCAAGCAAACTCAACAGAAGTGAGCCTTAAACCGAGCCTCACGAACTACACAGCGTGCCATGTAAGATGAAACAGAGTGGACTTTATTGCCAGTCACCAGCCAGGCTTCCACAGAGGGGTGGAAATTGCCAAATGGTTTTTACCTTTTATCTTCAGAACCCTTAAAACTCTCAAAAATAACATCAAAGCAGATGTGTCATCCCCTAAGGATAATACCTCTTAACTCAGGGAATCTGAAAACCAGTTGTTCATAACTGACTCAGATGTTCCTAACAGGGAAGATAAACTGGTAGCAGGAGGTCAGGGCCAACTGGACCGCAACTAACACCTTCCTCTTCTGATTTTACAAATTAACAACATACATATCTGACTTGCCTGTCCTCCCTTCTCAGGGTTAAAGAACTAGTACAAGAATTAAAAGCTGCCACCTTGGCCATTCCACCATCTTGGTGGCATGTAAACCCGCGTCCTGGTGCACACAGGAGTAATTTGCCCCAGTAGCTGCCGGGGCAAATGGGTCAGAAGAGTGAAAGCGCATACTCACACCGCTTTAGCATCTCTTCATGGGGCAGGGGGAGACTTAATCCAGTAACCGCCACTTAATCCAGTAACCGCCTAAAGGATTATGGGGAATCAAAGGATTGCTTTTGCCTAGGCTAAAGCTCCTAAGGCAGGAAGGAATTAGGAGAGAAGGGAGGCTAGAACTGCTCACTCCAGGGAGGAAGTGGGAAGCAATCGGTGTCAAAAAGAAAAGGTGAAGGAACTGTTGAAGTAAAGTCAATTTGCTGTTATACTCTCACCCAAATCACAACAAAAAAGTTAAAAAAAAGAAATGGATCTCATTCATAACCAGGAACCACCTGTATTTCTGTGGATTAAAGGTTTTCATCAACAAAGTGAATGAAAAGAAAATTCCAAGACTGCTGATGTGGTTGGTCCGGGCTTCTGTTTCCCACCTCTAGCCACTGGATTTCCTGCCCAGCTTTGGACAGAAGGCAAGTAAGATGCACCCACCCAGTGTGGGACCCTCCCATGGGACTGCTCATTTCCTGGTAGGCCCAAGGAGCCATTCTGGCCATCTACAGACTAAAGGCAGTCTAAAGCCTGTTGCGGGTGGAGGAGGGGATATCTTTTCTCAATGCAGGACCCCTGATGACATAGTTGGACTGATAATGGCAAGGACAGCAGTTTGAAACTACCAGCTGTTCCCAGGGAGAAGGATGAGGCTTTCTACGGCTTGAAGAGTTAACAGTCTCAGAAACTCACAGGGGCAGTTCGACCCTGTCCTATAGGGTTGCTGAGTCAATGGCAGTGAGTGTTTGGTTTTTTATCAATTCTGTGCAAATCATTGATTAGGCCAGATTTACGTAAGAGCAGTTAGCACAGGGTGCGCCAAGGGAGCTTCAAAAAATTTGTGGGAAAAACCAAAAAGGCAAAAAAGAGATCATGCAATATTTTGTTCCCCACGAATATTGTATACAATATTTGTATGGGTTCTAATTGTAATTCTAGCATGACAATCCCAAAATTTAGAAGACATTATAATGTGTACTTGATGTTTCAAAGAATTTGCCCAAATCCAGCCTTTTCTTAATTCAAGTGTCTAAATTTACCCCGGAAGCTTAACACGAAACCTACAGGCAGCTTTACAGGCGGATCTTAGGGCTGAGTTCATTAAAAATTATCTTGGGCAAGTGACTTCACTGTGTCTCTGTGGTCACACCAGGAAGCATCTTCCTCACAGGGTTTCGATCGTGCAACTTTAGGTTATTTATATTACAGTGTTAGATCTCACTGAGCGAATTCCAACTCATAAAGACAAAAGGGACAAGGGAACAAAGGACTGTCCAGTCCCCTGCCACCCTCTCAAACCGTTCCCTTTGAGCCCATTGGTGCAGCCACTGGGTCAATTCCTCTAGCTGATAGGGGGTCTTCCTCTTTTTCCTTTTCTCTCACCCTCCACTTTCCCAAACATGATCCTTTTCCAGGGACTGGTCTCTCCTGATAACATGTTGCAAAACAGTTATCTCAAAGTTGACCTTCACCGCTGTAGGCATGCTGTGACTGTAGAAGCATGCCGTGGCAGGGGCAGTTGTGCCCTATCCTTCAGGGTCACTAGGAGTCAGAATCAACTACTGTAGATGGCAATGGGTTGGGTTTGGGCATTTATTGCCACTATGAACTTTAAAGTACCATGGCTACGGACAGACCCTGGGGACCAGATAACCTAGGTTCCAATCCTAGCAAAACTGGATTATTTAGCTTACCCTCAAGTTGCGTAACCTCTCTGCGCTGCGGAGAAGACCAGTCAATATACAGAAAGGGCTTAGAACAATGACCAGCACCGGAGTTAGCATTATTTTGAAGAGGTTGTCCTGGCTAACAAGCTGACCAGATCATGGGAGGAAATTCACCAAAGAAAGGGAAAAAAAGAAACAGGAATTTGCAAGCAAAAAGCATAATGAATATTTTGATGTTCAAAGGAAACTCAGCATCCAGTCCCCAAAATTCTAAAACTATGAATGTACATAGACCTGTTATTTAATTTCCTCCGAAACTGCACAAAAATACTATGTGCCAGCTGAGAACCAGCCTAACTTTTCAGAGTGAGGGAGGAGGCTTGAGTCTAAGCTCCAGTGCGTCCCAGGCGGTGTGTCTGAGGACATGTGTGATAATATCCTTGGGGCTCAATCCACTGGAAACCTGTAAGATCTTAACCACCAAACCCAGGACTCAATAAAGAATGCAGCCAATGTGTAGCTCCCGTCAGGGAGGGTGCAAGGGGGTTTCGATGACACCATGCGGTGGCTTAAAAACACACAAATATACGCACAGATGCATGAAATCCATTCTGATTCACGGTGGTGACTCCCCAGCAGAATGTTGCAAATTTTTAACGGTTACTTTTCCAAAAGCAGACTGCCAGGTGTTTCTTCCCAAGAGCCTCTGGGTGAGCATTACCCTCTAATCTTTCTCACCGCCTAGGGACTCTATGAGGCAAGCTGACGCTTCAGTTTTACGGAAGAAACCTTAAGACAGCCATTCTCAACCTGTGGGCCACGACCCTTTTGGGAGTCGCCCGATTCATGGCAAAATGACAGTTATGAAGTAGAAATGAAAAGTAATTTTATGGTTGGGAGGGGTCACTACAACATGAGGAACTGTATTAAAGGGTGGCAGCATTAGGAAGGTTGAGAATCACTCCCTTAAGATTAAAGTGAATTGCCCAAGGCCACACAGGCGGTAAATAGCCCAAACAAGGAAGATTTCCAAAACTGTTTTCCCTTGTCACAAGGACTAATATGAAATAAAATCCTTCCTGTTTAATTTGTTCATTCAAGACATCATTAATTACTGAGAACTGCCTACATTCCAGGCCCTGAGCTGTGTGCTGGGGTCACTGTAGGATCCCAGTAATAGTGGGAACGGCAATCAACAGGTAATCTCTAGCTGCTAAAGCAATTACAATAAGCAAGTAGGGTGAGGGAGTTTTACTGGGGTTTCTCTATTTCAGCAAGCATCATCCAAAGGCGCGAGGGGAGAGAGGGATGGGGGTGGAGGGCAGCTTGGCTCATTTAGGAGACAAGGAAAAAATCCAAAGCCAAGAAAACACCCAATGAGGTTGGAGACTAGTTACGGTATACAATGTCCTTGAAGGACCAGAGTCGAATCTTTTCGTCCTCACTAGCATCAGCAGGCACCGAATCTGGATTCCAGCATTATCTCAATCCCAGGCCTGGCTCAGGGAAAGGACCTGCTCGTTTTCTGCGGTTCCTTCATGGGAAAGCCAGGTAGACATGGTTACCACTACCAGGGCTGCCTGCAACGGGGCGGTGCGCAGTCCCACAGAGAACAGCGATTCTATCTATTTGTAAAGCTACCTGGAAATCAAGCGTTCACATCCCTGGGTAGGCCCTCTTAGGGGCGCCCTGGTGACCTCACCCCCAACCTACAGTCCCCACCCCACCAGATCATTCCCGAATTGGCCCAGGGCTCCAGCCCTTCCCCCGCCGCAGCATGCTTAAAGTGGCACATGTCAACCCAAACGCCATTTCCACCGTCTCCTCCCCCACGCAGCCCTCGCTCCCGGGGTTCTCAGGACGAGAGAGCCCCCACTCACCCCGCCATTCCCCACCCTTGACGCCCTCAAGTGACGTCAAGGCCGCCCCTGGGGTTCCCGGGGCCACGCCGGCCCAGCCCGCACTGCGGGGCCACGCACCCGGCCCGGCAGCGACGGTGGGGGGCGCCGCGGGGGCCGGGGCCGGAGCCGGGCTGGGGAGTCAGGCTACTCACCACGACGCTGGGGCTGCGGGTCGCCATAGCGAAGGCGGCAGGAGCACGGGCTGAGGTCGGGCAGAAGAGGAAGGCGGCTAGGGGGGGAGGAGGAGACGCAGGCTGGACCCAGGAGGCAGTAGGTGGCGCGCGCGGGAAGTCCCAGGGAGCGCGCTAGCGCTTGTCGAAGCTGTTGCTTGGCAGAGCCCAGGCCCCGCCCCCAGCTCGCTGCTAAGGCCCCGCCCCCGACCCGCTGGCCCCACCCGCTCCCGCCGCGCACTCCACGCCCTGGCAGCGGCTATAGGCCCTGGGCACGTGGCAGTCATGTCAATCTTCTCCCGCCAGACGCCTACACACCGCAGCGCAACCGCAGTCCCTCCTTCTCCTATTCAGCAGGCTTTCAAATTCCCAAGCGGAGTTTCTCCATCTTGACCCTAAACTGGGCGTTGACTCTGCAGGTTGCAGTCCCCACGTGGGTTCTCACTCTGGACATTGCACCACATGGTAACTTCCCCTTTTCTTGACCCTTTGCCCAGTGCAGCCCCAAAGCCCTGGCACCCGGAACCAGAGTTAGCCAGGTTAGGGAACACATTCTGAGGGAAACACTCAATTTCTCTGCGAACTTGTCCAAAGGACTCAGACTCTCCGAGTCTCCCAGCCAAATGAGGATGTTAATATTAAGAAAGGTTCTGCACATTCCATTTAAGAATTCGACATTTAAGACATGATTTTTGCTATGGTGCTGGTGAAGAATATCGAAAGTACCACGGACTGCCCAAAGAATAGGCATCTCTCCTGGAAGAAGTACAACCAGAGTGCTCCTTAGAGGCATGGATGGCAAGACGTTTCTCATATACTTGAGATATGTTATCAGGAGAGATCAGTCCCCAGAGAAGGACATGCTTGGTCACACCGAGGGACATCGAAAGAGAAGAAGGCTCGGATTCAGACAGATGGACACAATCGCTGCAACAATGGGGTAAACAGGAAGAGCTGTGGGGATGGCACAGGATGGTGACTCGGGTGGTGTTTCATTCTGTTGTTCATTGGGTGGCTATGGGTCAGAACCGACTGGAAAGCACCTAACAACAATAAAGTACAAGCCCACCTCAGAGACAGGGCGGGTTCTCTTCCACACAGCAACACCAGCTTTTCACAATAAATGAAGTCACATGATTTTTTTGTTTGGTTTCCCAAAGCATGTACAAGTTTTATTGACACTAGACTGGAGTCTATTAAGTGCTGTTCTGTTTTAGGGTACAACAGAGGCCTCGAAATCTCAAATATAATTTCAGGAGAATATTAAATCTTAAAAAAAATTGAAAAAAAAAGAATATTAAATCTTAAAACGGCAAAGAGACAGCAACTAGATGGGGGAGATGGTTAGCTCGAGCTCATGATGATGTCCAAGGATTTTTGCTGAGACTCAGAGATTTTCAAAGGACACCGGAGAACAAAGGGAGCTGTCACAAAAGCATGATTGGCAGCAGATCCGTACAGCACAGTTACAGGTGGGACAGTAGAAGGAGGAACAGGACCAAGATTGGGATGTGTACATTGTGTTAGAAGAGCCTACAAAATTGGCCCCAGGCCTGCCTTTGCTACACCCAGTACAGTGATCTTGATCTAGGGCAGCGATCTTTATCAAGGACACCTTCGTGTAGCCCCTAAGGCAACTGCCCCTCCTAGGTCAGTGGGGTGGAGCTAATCTTTCCAATGCAGTTGGCCTGAGGGCAAGATCTTTCACATTCCTGGTTCATGTTATTTTTGCAATCTTGTAAGGAGAGACCCTATGAAGGACAGAATGAAACACCAACACCACCACCCCCCAAAAAGAAAGAAAGAAACACTGCCCAGTCCTGCTGCATCCTCACAATGAGTCTTATGTGTGAGCTCACGATTGCAGTCACTGTGTCAATCCACCTGGTCAGGGCCTTCTTCCCCTTGCGCTCTGCCCCCCTGCTCTACCAAACACAATGTCCTTCTCCAGGCACTCGTCTCTCCTGTCCAAAGTCCGCGAGACCAATTCTCACCCACCTTGCCTCTAAGAAACATTCTGACTATACTTCTTCCAAGACACTTCTGTTTGTTCTGCTGGCAGTCTATAGTACTTTCAATATTCCTGCCCAGCACCACAATTCAAATGGATCGATTCTCCTTTGGTCTTCGTTAGTCAGTGTCCAGGTTTCACATGCATATAGGCCATGGACTTGGGTCGGATGCACCTTAGTCCTCAAAGTAACATCTTTGCTTTTCAGTATATTTTTTAAACCATTTTATTGGGGGCTGGTACAACACTGATCACAATCCATCCATCCATTGTGTCAAGCACATTTGCACATTTGTTGCCATCATCATTCTCAAAACATTTGTTTTCTACTTGAGCCCTTGGTATCAGCTCCTCATGTTTTCCCTTCCCTCCCCATTCTCCCCTCCCTCAACTTTTCAGCACTATTAAGGAGGTCTTGTGCAGCAGATTTACCCAATGCAGTGTGTCATTTGATCTCTTGTCTGCTTCTTCCCTTGACAACTTCAACCTTTTTTTCATTTATCATGTTACCTATTGGTCCACTTGTGAAGATTTTGATCATCTCTACAGTAAGTTGTAATTCGTACCGAAGCCTGCAAGCCTTAACCTTCATCAGCAAGTGCTTCAAGTCCTCCTTACTTTCAGCAAGCCAGATTATGTCAACTGCCCCATCACAGGTTATTAATAAGCCATCCACAAATCCTGATATACCACATTCTTCTTCATATAACCCAATTTATCTGATGATTTGCTCAGCATACAGTTTGAATAAGTATGGTGAGAAGATACATCCCTGACACACACCTTTCCTGATTTTAAACCATGTAGTCTTCTCTTTTGTTCACACAACTGCCTCTTGCTGAACAAGGCTGAAGTTGTCAAGATTTTTGTCTTGCTTGAATCCAAATCAATGCTCATGGAAGCCGCAGTCACAAAATCAAAAGATACGCTGTTGAGGGAGGGGGGAGCAGGGAGGGAGGGGAAAAATGAGGACCTAATGTTGGGGGTTTAAGTGGAGAGAAAATGTTTTGAGAATGATGTACAAATGCTCTTTACACAATTGATGTGTGTATGGATTGCGATTACAGTTGTATGAGCCCCTAATAAAATGTTTAAAAAAAAAAAAAGATACGCTGCATTAGGTAAATCTGCTGCACAAGACCTTTTAGAGTATTGAAAGGCAAGGCTGTGACTTTGAGGACTAAAGCGTGCCTGCCCCAAGCTAGGTGATTTTCCATTGCCTCATATGCATGTGAAGGTTGGGCGCTGAATAAGGAAGCCTGAAGAATCAATGCATTTGAATTGTGGTGCAGGAGGAGAATATTGCAAGTACCATAGACTGCTAAAACGACAGATGAGTCTGTCTTGAAAGAAGTACGGCCCAGAGTGCTCCTCAGAGGTAAGGATGGCAAGACTTCATCTTTGGACATATTGTCAGGAGAGACAAGTCCCTGGAGAAGGACATTATGCCTGGTCAAGTGGAGGGGGGGCAGGGGGTGTGTGAGAGGAAGATTCACAATGAGATGGACTGACCCAGTGGCTGCAACAACAGGTTCAGGCATAAGAACAATTGTAAGGATGGATTGCTGTGGTCCCAGCTGACTTGGGGGCTCCTAACAACAACAACAACATAGATTACGCCTCCATCAAATGTTTTCTAATCATTAAACAAGGATGTAGATAAACTTGCCCTCAAGCGAAATGCCTTGGAGAGTGAATTGGCTCCAAACCTTTCTGCCCAGCCCAGGGAAGGGCAGTTTCTCCGTTAAGGTCTTGCCTAGGTGTGTCCTTGATGGAGGTCACCATACTAGGGCTGGTGAAGGTGGGGTCACAAAGTCATGAGTCATCTGACTGTCTTGAGTTTGGCCCTGACTGTCTTGTTGGAAGGCCCTGGACGACCTTGAAAGCCTCAATTGTGAACACTAGGATGCCATCTGAACCACTTCTTGGTGGTCTCCAGATGTTTCTGTGTCTTTGTGTTCTCTTTGTCTCTTTGAAGACTTAATGTATGTTCTCTAAATCGTACTTGAGACGGAGTCTCTTTTGCACCGTAAAACCGCTTTCACTATCATCCATAACGTTCTGCAAACCAGGTGCTCAGACTTTAAGCTTCAATATAGTTCTAGAAGGAAATGACCCCAAATCCAGGTATGATTCATAGAGAGACATTGATAAGTCTTTAACTGGACAAAGGTAAAGCATCTGGCTGAGGTCATCACATCATGGGGTCTAAGGAGTCTCAGTGACGCCAACACAGAGAACATGGGGAACAGAGGAAACTGCCTCAACATCATGACCGGGGGCAGCTCAATTCATCAGTTTCAGGCAAGACTATTGAGGCTGGAAAGGCCCCCCCCCCATTGGAATACCTGCATGATTTCATCAATAGGCTCAAGCATAGGAACAACTGTGAGGTTGGCACAGGACCTGGCAGTGTTTGCTTTTGTCCTGTATGAGGTCACAATGGTCTGGAACCGACCCAATGGCACCTAACAAACAGTAGCAACAAAGTAGAAACACTTACAAGATTGATTCCAGGGGACTCCAGCCGTGAAGACTATGTGACCCTAAAACCAAGACCAAACAACTCACTGCAATGGACCCTTTGTGAGCCTCTCATGTGGGGGGAGGTCAGATGCTTACAGGTATCCTCCCTGAGGGCGATCAGTTGCCAGGCTGCAGTGGGCCCGCTCCCTGCTGTTAAGGACAATGGATAGGCCTGCAGTCATCAACTTGGTTCCTGTAGGTGGGGTTCACACCCTACTGATAATGGTTCCTATGGAGATCCAGCTGCCATCCTGACTCTAGGATCCGCCCATCTTGTCACCTGTATACCCCCAATCCCTCCTCTTCCTATTGTGTGTATGTCCCTAGAGCACCTTTCATTGCTGTATAACCTACATTGGAACCCCTTCCTGTGATGTATGTCTTTACCTGTAATCAGTGGGCTTTCTGCCCCCAAAGGTCTATAGGCCTGGGTTAGCAATAGAGAGTGCCTCACTCTCTCTCGGCTCCTCCCCTCTCCTCCCATTCCCTTGTCCTCCTTCCCTTCCCCCTCTCTCCACGTGGACCACCGAGCTGGGCTGAGGTGAGCATTGCTACTATGAAATGCCCTTGACTCCATTACTTTCTCTTCTATCTCATGCTC